TCTTTTGCGGCGCCGCGACCTGTTGCGCATGCAGGAGGGGCCAGTCGCGGACGGCGTGTTCGGTGTGGTCAAGGGCGACCTCGTCGCCGGCGGACCTCTGGCTGGATAGCCGCAGCTCAGGTTGATCATGCACCTCGCCACGTCCAACGAGCCCACGAGCGACCTGCCCCTCGACATTGCAAAGCTTCCATTTTACTCGCGCTGGCGATATATCCTCATCGATGCGGGAGAGGAAGTTGCATGGGCCCACGATGGCATGAAAGGGGGGGAACCCGTGTGGCTCGGCGCGAGCTCAACCAGGTACGGCAGGTCTACTGCGACGACGCCGACTACGGCAAGCTGATCGACAAGCAGGAGCAGTGGTGCCGGGACTTTTCCCAAACTTCCTGTTTTTCGGAGGCCGCGCGCGCGCGTTGCAACGAGTGGGCGGCGCCGCTCAGTGCCAAGAGCGGCACTGACTGCAGTTCTGTCTCCAGGCTCGGAGCGTTGCTGGATGGACCCGACGGGCGCCTTCGGGGCCTTGTTATTGACCTGCCTGTTTTGCCATTGCCTCGCATCACCCGTTGTGCGGCGCATGCGCTTAGAGATCGTCGTCGGCCATTGGGTGCGCGCCGCGTCCTACCGCAAGTAGTGCATGAGCTGCTGCCAGGAGGCGTGGTACGCTCTGTCCCACTGGGGCGGAGGGTCCCGCGCGCTGCCAGAGGGCGCACGTCTGGGGCTTGTCCTGGCTCTCGCCTTGCCCCCGTGCTTCGAGTGCGACCTGCGCAGCCCCATCTCATGCGTCGTGACAGCCTCGGGCGCCAGCGAGCATGGCGCGGGCGTCGCGTTGAGATCCAGGCGCGCCGCTGAGGGTCGCGCCGCCGCTCTGTGCGAGCTGGCAGGCGGTTGCGCTAACGGTCGCGACCTCCTCGTGCTCATTGAGGTCGGCGGCTGCGGGCGTGGCCGGATGGCATTCGACAGCGTCGGGTTCGAGCTCTCGCTGCACGGGCTGCTGTCGGTCGCGCCTGGCGCTGCTTGCGCGGTGCGGGCCCGCTGGCCCGAGGTCGAAGTTTTGGGCGGCCTGCGTGCTTTCGGCGAGGCCGCTGCTCGTCGGGTGCTGGGCCGCGCCTCGCGCGCCACCGACCTCGTCCTCATGTGCCACCTCGGGTCCGCCCGGGAGCTCCGCGCCAATCTGCCCCTCATTTGTTCCGCGCAGCGCATTTTGCAGAGCGATGGGGGTTGGGTTGAGGGTTTGGCCAGCATGCCTCGCCGCGCCTACGACCTCGCGCAAGCAGATCGAATCTGTCGCGCTCGCATTCCGCATCGCACCGCTTCTGATGAACGTGTCGACGGTATCCGAGAGCACAGGGTGCAAATATAGCTGGCTGAGCTGGACGTTGAAGGTGGCAGACGCTTGCGGCCGTCGCGGCAGCCGGACGGGATCGCCTTGCGCTGGTCCGAGTCCACCCCGGCCGACCTAGTCCGCTGGCGCTGACTTCCGGAGCGCAGGGGCAGGGCGTGGAAGGGTGCCCCTGCGAGACCGCGCGGCGAAGTTGCGTGCAATGCCTTGCGCTGAAGCTGGGCTTCCCGCGCGACTTTTTCCTCTTCGCACGGGGTCGCGAGCCAGGCATCGCGTCGGATACCTCTTCCAGATTCGCCACGCTGTGGCTTAGCAGTGCGGGCCTGTAGCCCCTCTTGCTTACTCGGTCGGGCTGCGGGGCTGGCGGCGGCGGGCTGTCTACCGCGGGCGCCGCCTTCGTCGAGCGCCTCGACGGGAGGGCGATTGAGGAGATCGCCCGCGCAGATCCGCATCAGCTATCGCTCGAGGCCACGGTGCGCCCCGCGGTCTTCAAGGGCTCCGACGCCAGGATCGCGACGGCCCCCCCGTGGGGCCCCAGCAGCTGGCTGCGCAGAGGTGTCCTGGCCGCCGGGCGGGACTGGATGACTTGCCAGGCCTGGCGCTGGCGCGACGCCGAGCGCATCGACGAGCAAGAGTTGCGCGCCGGGCTCAGCAGCGCCCGGTGGCGCCTGAGGAACAGCGCGCAGATTAGTTCGCCCCCCTGCCACCTTTTGGACTCGCAGGCGTGCGTCGGAGCGCCTTGCATGGGGGGGTCGTCTGCCCGGGGCCTCCAGAATATTATCGTCCGCGTCGTCTCTTTGCTGCTCGCTGGTAGTCTGCGCCCGCGCTGGGTCTATGCGAGGTCGGCGGGCCACCCTGCCGACGCGCCATCGCGATGGTAAAGCATTCGGAGGCCGCCACGGCCAGGCAGCGACAGCAGGGACGACGAGCAGCGGGCACGCTACGATCATTGCAGATCAAGCCGCGCACCCTCAAACCTCACAAGCTAGCGGTCAATCCTTTTTTTCGACTGCCTCGACTGGGAGCGCCCTGACATTTTGAATCGCCTTGCACGCCCGCTTAGCGCGGAGGCCGTCGACGAGGCGGCTGCCGACTACCTAGAGGCACCGTGGGGCGACGGATCGCCCCGCAGCGACGCCGCCGACACCCTCCTGGGGATTCAACACTTGGTCACAAGCCTTCGGCGAGAGCTCAAGGAAGGCTGGCGCCTGCTACGCACGTGGGGCCAGAACGAAATGCCTAGCCGCGCCCCGCCGTTGCGACCGCAGGCGGCAGTTGCCGTGGCCCGCTTTGCGCCTGCCGAAAGCCGTGACGACGTGGCCGCCGCAGTCTTAGTTCTTAGCGGGCTGCAACGGCTTGCTGCGCCTCCGAGCTGCTCATCTCGACGCGCGAATGTTTATTTCGATTGTTGCAAGCGCACCTGCGTGGTCAACCTTGGGCTGACCAAGGGCTGCAAGATGCAGGGTTGCACTGAGGACGTCATCATCGATGGCGAGTTCGCCTGCTTGCTGCTGCGCCGCTCGCTTGCAGGCCGCGCCGCCAGCGCAGCCCCCCTGCCGAGGGGGCTCGCGGATTTTCGCGCAGCTTTCGCCGCCTACCTCGGCAGGGTCAGTTTCGACCTGAACAGGGTTAAGCCATGCAGTATTCGCCGCGGTGGTGCCGCCCACCATTCTTCGTCGCTCGGCAACGTGGCGCTGACGCGCGAGCGAGGGCGCTGGCGTTCCAAGGCCACTCCCAGGATTTACGTCGTGGAGGGGAAGGCCGCTCTTCAGGCCACCCAGGTCCATGAGGCCCAGCGGGCAGCTCCGGAAGTGGGGCAGCAGCTATTCCACAAGCACATCACACGCATGCTGGGCAGTTGGATGTAAGCACACGCCTCCGGCAGAGCTATGGGGCCCCTGAGGTGCGACTTCGCCAGGCGCGGGGTGCGTGATCATGCGCGGCACCGACAGCTGGGCCCTTTGAGGGGGGCCCGTTCCTAGTGGCGGAGGCCGGCCTGGCACGGCGGCTGTTGCCGACCCTCCCCGAGAGGGGCCCGTCCCCAGCGGCGGAGGCCGGCCATGCACGGCGGTCGCCGCTGACCCGCGCTCCGAGCTGAGGAGCTCGAGGGCCAATGGCCCGTGTCGCCGAGCCGAGGGGGCTCGAGGGCCGTGGGCCTGATTGCAGCATCTCCGGGCCTAGGGGTCGGGGGCCGCAGGCCTGCGTTGTCGGCGCGGCGCCGCGTGCGACGTCGCGCGCAGCGGTGCGGCGCGCCAGCGCTCGGAAACGATCCGCGCGCGCTCGCCGTGCTATGACATCGACCTCGAGAAATAGCACAGGAGCAGCGACAGGATCGTTCCATCGCAATTCCGAGCCCCGCCCGCGCCTCCCTGAACGCGCAGATCCCCCCTTTGATCATGCGCGGCGCCGACGGCCAGACCCATTGAAGGGGGCCCGCCCCTAGTGGCGGAGGCCGGCCTGGCACGGCGGCTGCCGCTGGCCCTCCTTGCGGGGGGCCCGCCCCTAGCGGCGGGGGCCGGCCGAACATGGCGGCTGCCGCTGACCCGCGCTCCGAGCTGAGGAGCTCGAGGGCCAATGGCCCGGGTTGCCGAGCCGAGGGGGCTCGAGGGCCGAGGGCCTGGATGCGGCATCTCCGGGCCTAGGGCTCGGGGGCCGCAGGCCTGCGCTGTCGGCGCGGCGCCGCGCGCGACGTCGCGCGCAGCGGCGCGGCGCGCCAGCGCTCGGAGAGGATCCGCGCGCGCTCGCTGTGCTAACTGCGTGCATCTCCGCATTTCCATCCCGAAGGGTCGGCGGTGCTCTGAAGGGGGTTGACTGACTCGAAGGGGTGGGCTTCAGCTGGGGGGCTTCTGGAAGGGGCGTGAGGCTTCCAAGAAGGCTCCCTAGAGGGCAGGTGGGCTTCTGAGGAACCTGTGCCTTTTTAAAGGGGCCAGTCCTTGGCGCAATCTCTTGACGCTGTCTTATTATAGAGATTTCCCCGATCAGCCGCGCCTCGCGAGCGAGCTTTTGAGACTGCTTTTGAGCTGAGTCCCGCGCGATAGCCCAGGATAGCGGGCCCGCCTGCCTACCCCCCAGCCCCCCCCATGATGATCGTGCCATATCGGTTGCGCAGCTACGAAGAGGGGGTGCGCAGTACGCGTGCGCGCGGGCACTCGTGGGGATGCCCAAAGCTGATATGTGAGATGATCGGCCAGCATCTCCCATCTCCTAGGAGGGCGAGGATGACGTCACGGAAGGTGCTGGTCACGGTAGGGCTCGGTTTGTCGGGATGGGAAAACACAGACACAATGAATCGACGATTCCAAAGATAATGTGGGTCAACATCGGAAATCGGGGGGGAAGACGAACATCCAGGACATGTGGGATAATATTGGGGGAAGCTTGGGATTTGTGTGTATTTGTTTTGCGTGTCTTTGGGGCCCTTCAGTTATCTGCGTCACCCTGACATACTAATACTACGTGTGCGTCGCCCTCCTGGGGGCGACGCGCGCACCGAAACATCTTATAGTATTTGCGTCGTGGCGGGCGTTTTCTGGCCATACCGCCCGGGAAATGATCGACTTCAAGCTGGGCAGATTATATGTTCAGGTCGGACGCGCGCCTCCTAGGATGACAGACAGTTTTGGTATGCCTCTGTGCGTCCCAAGTTCGGCCGTTCCCAAAGGATCATGGACCAGGAGGAGGCGCGTCGGAAACACACCGGCGGGAAGATCCTGGGCTTCTTCTTCTGAGAAGGGCGGCGGGCCAGGGCACGGCCCCGTCGGCGCGATGCGCGCACCTGCGGCAGTGGTCGCTGCGACACGGGGAAGAATCGCGCGTGCTCGTTGGAAGAGAAGAGGAGGAGGAGGAGGAGGAGGAGGAGGAGGAGGAGGAGGAGGAGGAGGAGGAGGAGGAGGAGGAGGAGGAGGAGGGAGGATGAGGAAGAGGAGTGGAGGAGGAGGAGGAAGAGGGAGGAGAGGAGGGAGGAGGAGGAGGAGGAGGAGGAGGAGCAGGAGGAGGAGGAGGAACTGGACGACGACAGAAACACAACAGCTCGGAGGTCCGCGCAGAGTTCCTGGACAGGCGCTGGAACCCCACTCCCTGGCGCGAGGAAGTGAATCCGAGCGGACCTCCTGGTTGTGTATGTGTATGTCATTCGTTGTTCCCGTATGGGGGAGGAGGAGAAGGGCGAGGAGGAGGAGCAGGAAGAAGGACGAGGTAGGGAGGAGGAGGAGGAGGAGGAAGTAGGAAGAGGTAGGAAGGAGGAGGAGGATGAGGAGGAGGAGGAGGAGGAGGAGGCGGAGGATGAGGAGGAGGAGGAGGAGGAGGAGGACGACAGAGGGGGGGGATCGGCGGTGAACTCTGAACCCTGCCCTCGTAGATCCACCACTCGGGCAGCTCATGGGCGGCGGGTAGGGTTTGGAGTCCCTCGAACACGTGGCGAAGTCCGAACCCTACCCCTGCCTTCCATCGATTCAGGAGAGTCGATGGTTGGTGGAGATAGGGCTCGGATGTCGCCACAAAGGGGTGGAGGAGGAGGAGGAGGAGGAGGAGGAGGAGGAGGAGGAGGAGGAGGAGGAGGGGGAGGGGGAGGAGGGGAATTGGGTCCAACCTCGGCAGCTCGACCAAATCCACCATTTGGGTCCAATCCCAGCAGGCTAGGATGAGAGCTGTTCAGAGCGCTCTTAAGAGCTCCCAAGAGCTAAGAGCGCTCTTGAGACCTCTGAACTCTTAAAACGCTCTGAAGGCCTCTTACGAACGCTCTGCTTCTGACGAGCTTCTGAAGAGCTTCTGAAGAGCATCTGAAGAGCATCTGAAAGGCCTCTGAAATGCTTTTGAAGTGCTTTTGAAGAGCTTCTGGAGCGCCTCTGACGAGCCTCTGAAGAGCTTCTGACGAGCCTCTGGAGGGCCTCTGCAGAGCCTCTGAAGAGCATATGACGAGCCTCTTTTAAGAGCTTCTGACGTGTTTCTGGGTATGTTATCGGATGATTTCCTCGCGTTGCCCCCCCGTCGTAGTCGTCGTTCGTCGTCGTCGTCGTCGCCGCCGCCGCCGTCGCCGCCGCCCCGACGCCGACTATGACCACGACCCCGACAATGACGACGGCGACCTCGCGTTGCCTCCCCGTCGTAGTCGTCGTTCGTCGTCGTCGTCGCCGCCGCCGTCGCCGCGGCCCCGACGACGACTATGACCACGACCCCATATATGCAGCCCTAAGTCGCTGGGCTAAGTCGCGAAGATATTCGAGATACTATAATTTCTGGTTCGAGTATCATAAGAGTCGCCGATCTCTCAGTGGAGCCTGGGGTGTCGGGAGAACCCCCGGAAAACAATTCAAAAACCTCCGAGTTGGGATTTGTACAAGAGTGGTTTATGTTTTTGGCTTGATATTGTTGTCAATCGTGGGCCGCCGGATCTCCCCGAGAAATCACTGAAAACCTCCGAGTTGGGGGGGGTTGAGGGTGTCCCCCCTAGATCATGGGGTGGTCGGAGTACTTCCGTCAAATCGTAGAACAGAAAGCGCGAGTTGGGCTTTGGCTCGAGTTTATTGTTCGATAGCTTTACAGGGCAGATTTCGAAAGCCTCCGAGCAAAAACTCTGATTCACCCCCTGGGGACCTGGGCTGGCCGGAGAATCCAGAAAGTCCTTCAAGAAAATCAACGAAAACCATTCAATTGGAGGGTTTTCGGGTTTTTGGCCGGAGGCTTTCGACGGGGTTTGCAGACATGAATTTGTTTTTCATTGTGGAGTCCCGGATCCCCCCCGGAAAATTCCAGATAATAGCCCGAGTTGGATTTTTTTTCAGGGGGTGTTCCCCCCTGGAGCCTAGAGTGGCAGAAGAAACCTGGAAAGAACCTGTTTAAATTATCTCGGCGAAAGGCCCAACCATCTGCAATTGGTGGTGCCGCATCATGAATGCAGTTTTCGGTGGAGCTCCCTATGGGGCCACGAAGCGTGTCAGGGGTGTGTCGACATGGGGCGGGGCCGCCGTGCGAACCCTGCCACTTCGCCTGCGGTGGAGCTTCCTATGGAAAAACGAAGGGGTGTGCCGAAATGGGCGGGAACGCCACACAAACCCTGCCACTGGGGCCTTCGGTGGAGCTCCCTATGGGGCCACGAATCGTGTGAGGGGTGTGCCGAAATGGGGCTGGGCCGCCATGCGAAGCCTGCCACTGGGGCCTTCGGTGGAGCTCCCTATGGGGCCACGAAAAGTGTGAGGGGTGCGCCGAAATGGGGCGGGGCCGCCATGCGAACCCTGCCACTGGGGCCTTCGGTGGAGCTCCCTATGGGGCCACGAGTCGTGTGAGGGGTGTGCCGAAATGGGGCGGGAACGCCACACGAACCTTGCCTCTGGGGCCTTCGGTGGAGCTCCCTATGGGGCCACCAATCGTGTGAGGGGTGTGCCGAAATGGGGCGGGGCTTCCATGCGAAGCGTGCCACTGGGGCCTTCGGTGGAGCTCCCTATGGGGCCACGAAGTGTTGCACTGAGCGCTAGTGAGGAGGGAGGAAGGAGGGAGGAGGGAGGGGGCAGCTGGAGGAGGAGTGCACGCGGGGCGCTGTCTCTTCAAAACGAGGACCCAACACCACAGGATGGATGGACAAAAATTCAGCTTTTGGTCTTCGCGAAGGTTCTTTCGGGTGGTTTTCAAAAACAGTATTGTTTGAAATTTCGGTGCCCCGGACTCTCCCGAGAACAAATAAACAAAACCATGTACTCGGGGTTGTTTTCAAAGGTGTTCTCCTCTGGAGCCTGGGGTGGCTGGAGAAACCTCAGAAAAATCCGTTGGAAATCACTAGGGTGATATATCTATTGGACCCCCCGCGGGAAACCCTTGGAAAGCCCACGAGTTGGAAAGCTTTCCGTTGGTTTTTCGGTGGGTTGCCTGGGAGGTGTTCGGAAGCCCTGGAGCACCTTCAGGACATCGCCGACCCCCATCGAGTTTCTATGTAGAAATAGTGCAGTTTTTGATTGTTGGGGACCCGGAACTCCCGACCCCCCTCCCCAGAACAATTTTTGAGCAAGGAGGTGTTTCGGTGTATTTTGGGGTAGGTATCCAGTGAAGTTTTCAGACAGAGTCTTGCTTTTAAATGTGGGCCCCTGGAGCTCTCCGAAAAGCTTTCCAAAACAATAGTTCTTCTTGTTGATCCCATGGTTTTCGGTGGGGGGGTTCAGAAATAGCATGGTGTTTGATTGTGGGGCCCTGGAACTTCCCGAAAAAACACTTGACAAGTTCACGAGTCGGAGGTAGGTAGGTTGTTTTGTTTCTGAGTTTTTTGGTTTTATGTGTAATGTTAGTTGTAAGTGTGTGGCTCAGGAACTCCCCAACACTCCCGAGGAATTTCCGAGTTGAGGGGGTTTCCATATGTTTTTTTGTTTGTTCCCGTTTTGTGTTCGACAGTTTTTTTTAGAAATAGTATAGTTGTCGAGTGTGGGGTTCTAGACCCCCCGAAAACCATGCGAAACAGATCCGATTTGGATTTTTTTTTTTCGGAGGCGATTTTGGGAGGTTGTCAGCTATACTATTGTTTTGATTGTGGGCCCCTGGACCCCCCCGAAAGACCTCCGAACAAAAATCAGAGTATATAATTGTTTTGAACGAATGTTTGGGGTTTGTGCGGAGGTTTTCGAGGGGGAGCGGGGTCATGCATACTGCTCCCCAAGAAATCCCCGAAACACCCCCTGGATACATCTATATATATATATACACATTGGTTCGGGGGTGAAAAGGGCCCCCCTGCAAAATGGCAGCGGGCGTAAACCATTCAAACCTCTCCCATCCTCCTCCTCCTCCTCCTCCTCCTCCTCTTCCTCCTCCTCCTCCCTCTTCCTCCTCCTCTTCGCATTCCTCCTCCTCCCCCTCCTCCTCCTCGGACGTATCCAAAGGGGGGTTCGTAGGTCATCACGCCTCAACCTCAGACTGATGTAAGAGCTGAGATCGAAAGCCTCAACCTCAGCCTGATGCAAGAGCCTATTGGAAAGCCTCACATCAGGAATCCTTTGGAAAGCACCACAAAGGGATTCTATTGGAAAGCCTCACGCAAGGAATCCTTTGCAAAGCACCACAAAGGGATTCTATTGGAAAGCCTCACCAAAGGAATCCTTTGAAAAGCATCACAAAGGAATTCTATTGGAAAGCCTTACAAAAGGAATCCTTTGGAAAGCACCACAAAGGGAGTTTCTTGGAAAGCCTCACAAAAGGAATCCTTTGGAAAGCACCACAAAGGGAGTTTCTTGGAAAGCCGCACAAAAGGAACCCTTTGGAGAGCACCACAGCGGGATTCTATTGGAAAGCCTCATTAAAGGAACCTTTTGGAAAGCACCACACAGGGATTCGATTGGAAAGCCTCACAGCAGGAATCCTTTGGAAAGCACCACAAAGGGATTCTATTAAAAAGCCTCACCGCAGGAATCCTTTGAGCACCACAAAGGGATTCTATTGGAAAGCCTCACAAAAGGAATCCTGTGGAAAGCACCACAAAGGAATTCTATTGGAAAGCCTCACACAAAGGAATCTTTTGGAAACCACCACAAAGGAATTCTATTGGAAAGCCGCACCTGCGGCGCCTTCTCCTCCTCCCTCTTTTTCTCGTTGTAGCGGCGGTTCCGCTCTCGCTTCCGCTCGAAAGCCCCAGTGCCTGGCTTTGGGTTCCCCATTGTTGGGGAAAAAAAGCAGGAAGTGGCGCAGCGAGCTGCTTGAGCCTCGGTCGGGGCGCAGCGTGCTAGCTGGCGTTAGCTGCCCCCTCCTCCTCCTCCTCCTCCTTCTCCTCCTCCTCTTCCTCATCCTCCTCCTGCCCATCCCCCTCCTCTCCCCCCTCCTCCTCCTCCTCCTCCTCCTCCTCCTCCCCCTCCTCCTCCTCCT